CTGAGTCAAAATCATTATATTGCAATACACTATTTTTGGCCTGTCTATAAAAAAGAGACACATTTATATAAACAATAAACAAATATATTTTACATGTCAAAAGCAGAATTTATTTGATTATTGTGAGTGAACGTGGTAGAGAATTAATAGCAACTAGTGACTGCTCGAATAATTTAGGCCTGGAAAATATATGTATATTTGCCATTAAAGATACTTGATCTGACATCAATGGTTTATTAATGCATAAATTACATATACTTAGTTCTTACTCCATGTCTTGTAACCTCTGAAATGCCACAAAATTTGAGGTTTTCCTAATGTTAGAAACACGACAACTGAGACTCTGGTCTCTCCTGGTTGAAACACAGTTTTTTCCCACTACATTTACAGTAAATATCCTTTCAAAATTAACACTTTTAACTTTACTATCACCATTAAAAACAAATATACCATGCATTTCATAAGTRAGTGAAGGAAATGAATCATATTTTTTCCATATTWCAAAGAAAAAGTAATAATTAACTTATTTTCTATCAGATTTTTGAGGTATTTTTTTCCCATGCAGATGTAAACACAAATTATGCAAATAATTCTAGAVTAGATAACAATTTTTATGGGATCAAATTTAAAAAAGAAGCCTAAATTAGACTTCCCATAGAGGGAATATTATGACCAGGAAAGTAGACTTTTGAAAACATGCTAATTGATATTAATTGATCATTTATTATCACTTACTGCATTTATGTTGCACTTAAAATCTTTTAATTAATAGTGAAGCTCATTCCTTTTTAAAAGAGCTTAATTATAAGGTATAATTTGGAGTTAAAATCTATAAATGGAGATTAGTTTGCAACCAATTAATAGAAAAGAATAAATTTTTTTCTCAAAGACATGACAATACATTTTCTTGAAACAAAACCCCAAATGAGAATTTTCATTCTGTACATGCGAGTAGCTTAATTAGTGATATACAAGAAAAGCACAACAGCAATGGGTTTTCTTATATATGCATTTTAAATATCTATGTGCATTTCATTTTTACACTTACAAATTTTTAATGTTTTAGACAACAGCATGAAAGTTTGAATCTAATGAGATGTTGCTTTCAATTTGAAATATTATGTATRCATGTATATAAAAAATAAGCCAATATATGACTCATCTGACAGATTTTTAAGATCAATAAAGGCTTATTATCAAAAAGTAGTTAGAATCGAGGGGAGTAAGCCAAACTCTTGATACTGTCTTGTTACTGGCTTGTTTTTTCAGTGGTATCAATAGTGATTTTGGGAGCAAATCATGTGACTTCAGCCTATTTAGTTAAGATCAGATACCACAATCGTCAAGGRGGGCAGAGGAGCTGTGCAAAGGGGAGTAGGAAGATGATGTCAAATGATAAAAGATGAACTTTGCATTCTTTTTTGGTATGGATAAAAACAGACCAATGAAGGGAAGAAATTATAAATAGGAACAAAACTGCAATCAAATAATAGCCAAATTAAATTATTTTAATATTGCATATATAGATGTTTAGCCATACTCTAAGATCAACTCTTTAAGAGCAGAAATTTATATCCAATTTACCTGCTTCAGATATCACCTTTCTTGTTTGTTACAGTAAGGTCTTATATACAAAGCTGATTACTTTTTAAATCATACATAAACATAGATATAAAAAAGTTCAACAAAACTGCATGARCTCAAAAAGGAAGTTGTGGAATTCAAAATACAAATTCTCAAATATTTTCACAAGGTGTATGATACCTTTTGCTATGACAAAAGAGAAAAGTTTAATTTTTTTTTTTAGGAAATTGATTTCAGGATTGTTAGAATATTAATGGGAAGAGCTATAACATAGAGGCATGAGGGAAAACAGTTACAAAGCACATCATACAAATGGTAAGAAAAACTGGGCACAGAGCTGCCCACCTATACTCGAAGTTACTTGAGAGGTGGATGCAGAAGGGTCACAAGTTCAAGGCCCACCTGGGCAACTTAGACAGACCCTGTCTCAAAATAAAATACAAAGGGCTGAGGATGTAGCTGAATGGTAAGAGTGTTTACCTGGCATGAACAAGGTCCTGGGTTCCAGTACTAAAAAAAACCTGAAAACCAAATGTAATATAAAGAAGGAATAAAAGGTAGAACAAGAAGGAAGGAAGAGGATGACAAAAGAAGAAATGAAGGAAGAGAGGGTTAGAAATGGAAATTATTAGGAAAATGGACATCAAAGAGTGTGGTGAAATAATGCCTTTCAAAGGGCCCAAAAGAAGCCTGCAAAAAGATTGGAGAGGACAGATAGTTGTGAGGCCATGTGAAGTACAATCATGCAAACTGTGGAGGTTCTAGCTGTGCTTTTAGGCTGGTGAAGGATTATATGAGATGATATTTAAGAGACTTGTGATGAAAAATTGACCAGTCTGTACTTTGCTTCATTTTTTACACAYGTAGGTCTCTGTGGCATATTCTTCTCAGTGCACCTTTAACTTCTTTATTCCTCAAGGTGTAAATGAGAGGATTGAGGGTCGGGATGATTACTGTGTAGAARAGGGAGATGAATTTCCCAAAAGTGTGGGCATAGGAGCTGTTGGGCTGGATGTAGTTGGCTGCGGCACTCCCATAGAAGAGGGATACTACAGTCAAGTGGGATCCACATGTCCCCAGGGCTTTCTGCCAGGCCTGCACTGACTTGATGCTTATAACTGCCTTGGCTATGTGTCCATAGGACATCAATATCAGTGCCAAGGGCAAAAGGAGCAAGACCAATGAAGCAATGAAGAGCTGGATCTCATTGGCATGGATGTCCACACATGCAAGCTTAATCATGGAGGGGACTTCACAGAGGAAATGATGGAGCCGCCGGTGTCCACAGCGCGGTAGCCAGAGGGTGACAGTGCCCTGGATGAGAGCATTTCCTGCTCCACTCAGCCATGCGACCCCTGCCAGAACCTGGCACAAGCGTGGGTTCATTACAGCTGTATAGTGGAGAGGTCTGCACACTGCAGCATAGCGGTCAAAAGCCATCACAGCCAGGAGAACACATTCAGTGGATCCCAATGCCAGGGAGACATAGAGCTGGATG